AAGTGGGTGTTGAACAATGAGAACACATGAACTCAGGGAGGGGAACATCAAACACTGGGGCCTGTCAGGAGGTGGGGGCTACAGGAGGGAAAGCAGGGGGTGGCGGGCTAGGGAAGGGATAGCATTAGGAGAAATACCTAAGGTAGACGATGGGGTGACGGATGCAGCAAACCACCATGGCGCATGTATACCTATGTAACAAACCTGCACGTTCTGCACATGTATCCCAGAACTTAAAGTATAATAACAAAAAATTTTTAAATACAAAAACTGGCTGGGTATGGTGGCATGCACCTGTAGTCCCAGATGCTTGAGAGGCTGAGGCAGGAGAATCGCTTGACCTGAGAGATGGAGGTTGCAGTGAGCCAAGATCACGCCACTGCATTCTATCCTGTGCGACAGATTGAAACTCTCTCAAAAATAAAAAAAATCACACTGCTGAGCATGTCTGAGCATTCTTACACTCTGAACAGAAAGTATCTCAAGATGTTTTCTGATGCACATGAAAGCTCCTTGAGTACATATAGAATTAGTAATCTGATATCTGGCATATATCACAGATTTCACAAACATATGGAGACTGGATGAATAACACAATGTAACAATGTGCATTGATTTCTGTTATTACTGTCTTACCCACCAAATGCTATTACAGCAGAATAAGGACAGAATTGATTCTTCTTACACACAGTCTTATTACTGACCAAATAAAATTGGAGTGAACCAAAATAAAAACAATAATAATAGGGTAAAAATAATGGCCATTATTTCTTCATTGCTTACGATGTGCCAGTTACTGTAGAACTTATTTTGTTATTTAATCAGAGATACTGTTAATACCATCATTTTACAGATGAAGAAAATGAGATTTTGGTAAACTAAGTAACTTTGCCAAGTCACAGAGCAGTATGTGATGGAATGAATATTTAAAGGCAGAATTTTTAAGGTGTATATCTCACTCTTAACTAGAACAACCCTTTAGACTTTCTGAATATGGACACACACTAATCTATAGTTTAAAGCACAAACTAATCCATGAGATGAGGCACTTCTAAATGGATCAATCATTTTGTTCTTTTCGCTGTTAGTGATAGATGTTTCTAAAACTATGGACTTACCTTCGAACATTGTGTTATTGTGAAACAAAAGAGATAAACCATTAATGATTGAAGATATTTTATAATGTTTTATTGCCTTAAAGTTGCTTCACTGTTCTTACCTGTGGACATGATGTCACAGATCATAAAATGCTAATGACAAAGCTATCATGCAGGTATCATAGAGGACTTTTAATATCATTTGATGTTAAAGATAAAACTTTTATGCTAGATTGAAATCCCAACATAAAGAAAAAGTAAAGAAATACTTTAACTTGGCATCTTCCTTTCCTTTTGTTGAAGGTTTTAAACCTTTGAAATTATATTGATTTTTTTCATGCTAAATTACTCTTATGTTTTGTTTTATACTTATAAAAGCCTTTTCAATTATCACATACAATTTCCATGCTTTATTTTGAATTTTTCACGTTACCTGTGTTTGAATAAATCACTTATGCATCAGTAATATATATATATTTTAACTTTTATTTTAAATTTAGGGGTACAGTGTAGGTTTGTTACATAGATAAACTTGTGTTATGGTGGTTTGTTGTACAGATTACTTCATCACTCAGATATTAAGCCTTAACTATTAGTTATTTTTCTTGATCCTCTCCCTCCTTCCACCCTCCACCTTCTGAAAGGCCCCAGTATGTGTTGCTCCTCTCTCCGTGTCCCTTTCTCCTCCACTAGTTACTAAACTTGAGGTTGGGACTGTATCTTTGCAGTTTGTGCCTCTAGCATCTAGCACGCTCTGTATCACATTAACCGACATTACATACATGCCCAATGAATAGACAAATCATACTATCTATATTGAGAACACATAGGTCAGAATTAAAGAATAAATAGGCCAGGCCCAGTAGCTTATGCCTGTAATCCCAGCACTTTGGGAGACCAAGGTGAGTAGATCACGAGGTAGGAGTTCGAGACCAGCCTGGCCAATATGGTGAAACCCCGTCTCTACTAAAAATACAAAAATTAGTTGGACGTGGTGGCATGCACCTGTAGTCCCAGCTGCTCAGGAAGCTGAGGCAGAAGAATTGCTTGAACCCGGGAGGCAGAGGCTGCAGTGAGCTGAGATCACACCACTGCACTCCAGCCTGGGTGACAGAGCGAGACTTCGTCTCAAAATAAAATAAATAAAAAACCACGCTGATACCTTAATATGAATTCTCAAACAGATAAAACACATAATCCTTCTCACCTCAAGTATTAACCCTGCAAGAAAGAGAATTCTGAAAGCCGAAAAGAAGCCTGGTGTCTAGTGACAATGATCTACTGTGCACATGATACAGAAACTAAAGACAGTGTTTGGAATGGTGCTATGAAGCCAAGGACACTGAACAATCATGATGAGCATTCTCTAGACAGTAAAAATCCACTTGGAAAAAAGCTTCTTTTGCTTTGAACACACATTAATAAAGTTGCTGCCTTATTCTGACCTAGTTACAGTACTTTTCTTGAAGAGAAAGCAATCGAACAAAAAATTTATGACAATGAGGGCATATTTTTTTAAATCAACAAATAATAATTGTATATTTTTATGGTGTACAACATGATATTTTGCTATGGGTATACATTGTGGAATAGCTAAATCAAGATAACTAATATATGCATTACCTCACATCCTCTTATTTTTGTGGTAAGAATAATAGGCATCTACTCTAGTTGTCATTTTTTTTATTTTTATTTTTTTTGAGACAGAAATCTCGCTCTGTCGCCAGGCTGGAGTGCAGTGGAGTGATCTCAGCTCACTGCAACCTCCGCCTCCTGGGTTCAAGCAATTCTCCTGCCTCAGCCTCCTGAGTAGCTGGGACTACAGGCATGCGCCACCACACTCGGCTAATTTTTGTATCCTTAGTAGAGATGGGGTTTCACCACGTTGGCCAGGACGGTGACAAACTCCTGACCTTGTGATCTGCCTACCTCAGCCTCCCAAATTGCTGGGATTATAGGCTAAGCCACTGCTTCTGGCCTCTAGTAATAATTTTGAAAGATACAATACATTGCTATTAACTCTGGTCACCATATTTTGAAGTCATATCTTCTAAATGAAATTTTGTATGCATCAACAAACATTTCTCCAATTCCCCTACCTGCCAGTCTTTGGTAACCACCATTTTACTGTTTGACATACTAATTTCATATCCTTTAGATATATACCCATAAGTGGGATTGCTGGATCATACGGTAGTTATATTTTTAATTTTTTATGAAGCCCCCGTGGCATTTTTCATAATGGCTATTTTAATTTACAGTTTTACCAAAAAGCCTTACCTCTCCACATCCTTGCCAACAACACTTATCTTTTGTACTCTCAGTCATAGCCATTCTAACAAGCATGATGTGATATCTCATTGTGATTTTAACTTGCATTTCTCTGATGATAGTGGTGGCAAGACTTTTTTCATAAACCTGTTGGCCATTTGTATACCTTCTTTTAAAAATATCTATTCAGGTCCTTTGCCCATTTTTAAATTGAGTTGTTTTCTTATTAAATGAATTCATTATATATTTTGGATATTATCTCTTTTTAGATGGTAAGCCCTCTATCAGATGTTTAATCTCCAAATATTTTCTCTTCTTCCATAGGTTGTCTCTTCATCTGCTGATTGTTGCCTTTGCTGTGCAGAAGCTTTTTAGTTTGATATAATCTCATTCATCTGTTTTTATTTTACCTGGATTTTAGAGTCATAGCCAAAGGATCATTGCCCAGACCTATGTAATGCAGCTTCTCCCCTGTGTTTTCTTCTAGTAGTTTTACAGTTTCAGATATTAGATTTAAGTCTTTGGTCTTTAGATTTTGAGTTAATGTTTTTAATACGTTGTGAGATGAGAATCTAATTTCATTCTTCTGCATGTGGATGTTCAGTTTTCTGAGCACCGTTCACTGAAGAGGCTTTGCTTTCCCCATTGTGTGTTCTTGGCATCTTTGTCAAAAATCAATTGAGCGTAAATGCATGGATTTATTTCTGGGTGAAGGATTTTAATGACTTTCAAATCATTTGACAGAACATCTCACATGAATTATTACTACATCTGCAACTCATCATAATCTTAAAATTACTAATATTCCTAATCTCTACATTTAGCAACTTGAAAATTTTGAACTTGTTACCCAGCATTTGTGAAGGCATGCAGATATGCATATAATATACATAAAATTAGTATAGAGATAACCAAGGTAATAACCTCAATACCATGTTTGTGGCCACTGGTGCTGTTTTAATGATCTTCATGCTTCAGGATGACTTCCCCATGGGAGTATAGTAGAAGAGCGGGCATATATAACACTCAGGGAGGGGACAAGGTTAGGAATCCAATTATCTACATGCTTTACTGTCTGTTACACCAAAAAGACATAAACCTCAGATTTCCTTGTCATTCTGTTTTATTACTTACCTTCCCAGTTAATTTGTAATAGTTTGAAAGCATTATTTCAGCATACCCATGGAAAAATAGACTTCTGATTTGAAGATTCCTATGTTTTACTGTTGTTTAAAAAGCAGTAGCCTTACTTAAAAAGAATAGTCTTTCTACATAACCATGATCAAGCTAGATTGTAAACAATCATATTCCACATGTATATTATAGGTTTTGATACCATAAATACCAAATAGATCTTGATACAGTAGCAACAGGAAAGCCTTCATACCAAGATTTTCATTTCTTTAAAACTAAAAGCCAGGAAATTATTTTGGTTCTGGCTCTAATTTATATAATGTAGACCGAGGCTATGTCAATGTAAGTATTATTGGTTTGGAAATGAAAGAAGACTCAGACAGTTAAATTCCCAGTAGCCTAGCTACGCAGTTCTGTAAGCATAGGGAATTCATTAAACAGCAACTCATAGTACTTTTTCTTAAGGTCTTATTTGTTTTTCTTTTTGTTTTCTTGTAGAGCAAGATCTTACCAAATCCTTTAGTCACGGTCTGTTTTGTTGCACTCATATGGGTGTTACTGCAAAGGTGAAAAACTAATGACTGCAGCAGGAAAAAAAATTGGATGTGTCATGAATTATGGCCTTGTTTATACTTCTACTTTAACCATAATCATTTGTTTAAACAGAAAGTTCTGCATTTGAATTGCCACAATTGTGGATGTGTTATAAACATCTCGTGTTTCACCCAGGCTCAGCCAACACTTGCTTTTGTTGACACTCATAATCGAGAAATAAAATATTATACTAACACAAAATTATCCTTCATAAGAGAATATAAACAGAAGAGTGGTTCATAAACATACTAATTAAGATTTCTACTATCATTTATTAACAAACATTTTTGTGTCATCTTAAAATAAGTAAAACCTTATGACATGCTAACAATTTATTTAAAACTTTCTCCTTTATTTTTCAAAGGCTTATCTTCTCTTAATGTTTGACTTAGGTTTCTGATACTATTGATTTTGCCTTTAGAAAATTTTTCATATCCCAGCCAGGCACTGTGATTCACACCTGTAATCCCAACATTTTGGGAGGTTGAGGTGGGCAAATCACTTGAGGTCAGGAGTTTGAGACCAGCCTGATCAACATGGTGAAACCTAGTCTCTGCTAAAAATCCAAAAATTAGCTGGGTATGGTGGTGGGCACCTGTAGTTACAGCTACTTGGGAGACTGAGACAGGAGAATCGCTTGAACCCAGGAGGCAGACTTTACAGTGAGCCAAGATTGCACCATTGTACTCCAACCTGGGCAACAGAGCAAGACTCCATATCAAAAATAAATAAATAAATAAAAACATGTATATCCCTCTCCTATAGCATACAAATATAGGCACTAAGTATACATTGCATATCTTTTCTTAGATCAGATTCTAGTTCCTGTAATTTCCTCCTCCATTTTTTTCCTCATAGAGGGATTTATAAGATATAGGACTCACTTTTGCATACAGCATATTCTTTCACTTTGGTTTTCCTATGGAAACCAGTGTATTTTCATGGAAAACATACTAACTACTCTACCTTCCTAAGTACTACATCTGGATTGCTGCCTTCTTCTGAATGAGCACTGTAATCACTACATTCTCTAGACTTCTTCAGAACTATGAACAAGCAGAACTCCAACATGCAACTCTCAGTAATCAGTAATCAAGTTCAACAGGATAATCAGCAGCAACCAGCACAGGAAGTCAGCGTGTTTCTCTCACTCTCTAATAGCAATAATGTATTCGTGTTTTCATTGTTGGGGACCTTCAAATCATTTTAAGTTCTACTGTGGTGTCAGTAAAACCAGAAAGACAACCAAGAATTTTATGGTATAAAATTGCCTTACTAACTGTGCCTGAGAAGATGAACAGAAAAGAGTGATTAATGATCTTAATGGTCTAAGTAGAAGAATGTTCAATTCCAAGTTAATTCTCACTCAAGATTTTTTACTAATTTACCAAGCAGCGAACATACACAATTAATAATCTGAATTTTCAGTGTTTTCCCATTATTTTTGGACTCATTAATTCAACAAACATTAAACAGATTGATATTATGCTGGATGCTGAGAATGCATCAGGCAAGACAAAAATCTCTGTTTCAATTGAGCATAAAGTCCAAAGAGGGAGTTAGATAAAGCAGTTACTGAAGAGTGTGGTTGTTTATTCATGATTTATTAGCCACTGTGCTAAGTGTCAGGTATACAGTAGTGAGCAAGGCAGACAGGCCTCTGCTCTGGTAGGAGGTGTGTATTAAGTCCTAAGAGAGCAGCAAGCATTAGATCTTGTCACACAAGGAGTACTTAAAACCATCTTTAGGGGACAGGGATGTTGTTCTAAAGACAGTGACAGCTTATCTGAGACACAAAAGGCAAATAACACATAGCCATTTAATGGGCGAGGAAAGGCAGAGTTTTCTGGCATGGGACTAGCAGGTGCCCAAAAGTCAGAGGAGCATCCCCTTGTCAGGTTTCTAGAGGTAGCCCTATGTGGCTGAAGTAGAGGATGTACAACAGGATTCTGTGAAAGCAGAGATAAGTAGTTTACCAGACCATGAAGGACATAATAAAATGGACCTTAATGGAATCTGAGCCAGGCTGCCTGGGTTCAAATCCTGGTTCAGACATAAACCGCATCTTAACAACTTTAGGTATGGGGAATCATTCTATTGTCAACCTCGTTAATCTGAGAGCCACATTTCACGTTTTTAAACAGATAGTTCTCTGTCAACATGGCCAAATAGAGAACTTTTACAAGATTTAGAAGGCAGAGTGAAGCCACAGCCATTACTCTCTAAAAGTCATTGTGATTGGATGTAGTGATGAATAGACACAGAGGTCCCTAGAGGGTCTCAGCTTGTCCTCACTCTCTTCCACTTCACTTCCAGCTCTTCTTCTCTACGCTGGCTCCTCTGACTAGGAACAGCCCTAGGACCATCACTGAATGCTTGACTACAAACCCACAGAGGCAAAATCTTCCCACAGACTTATCTGCCGGCAGCTTCACAGTCCCACTTGGGTGGCTGGATGTGCTTGGTTTTTTTATGTTGACTGGCTGGGAACCAGTCAGATCTCCCTTTCAGATCTTCCTTCCCCAGCATCTCATAAGGCTATATATACACATTCTATATATTATAACACATAGTGGATCTGTTTCTCTGACTGATACATGGAACATGTTGCTTAAACTCTCTATGCCTGTTTCTTTATCTTAAAAGAGGATGATAATAATTACAATAGTATCTGCATTATGGGATTGTCTTGAGGAAATAATGAATGCTCATAAAATGATAGCTATTTTAAAGAGTTCGTTCTTTACTTTGAGGTGAATGAGGAGTCAGTAAAAGATTTTTGGTAAGTGACATGTTTGGATCTTTGTTTCAGGACAACCAATCTGAGTGAGATGTGGAATACAGATTTGAGATGGGCAAAAGTAGAGACAGAGACACATTCTGTCACAGTAATCAAATTTTTAATCTTGGTAGCCTTAACTGAGTTAGTGGCCCAGAGATTGGAGATCAGTGGACAGATTCGAGAACCTTTAAGAAACTGGAAATGGCAGAGTTTGGCAAGTGACATATGGGGAACGGAGGTAAAAGACAGGAAGGATTATTTTCAGGCTTCTAGTTTAAGAAAGTGGATGGATCATGGTGCCATTTTCTGAAACAGTAAAAGTGGAAACAGAACTTGTTTAGTGAGAAAATGATGAAACTTAGTTTTAGACATGATGAGCCCAAGGTACCCATGAGACACCTAAGTGGAGATGATAAAGCGGAAGTTGGGTGTACTAAACAGCTGAGTCTGGAGATGAGACATGAGATGTTCGCACATATCTTAATCCATTATACTTATAAAGTAAATATGTTTTCAACAAGAACAAGGAATCAGCTGGGCGTGGTGGCTTATGCCTGTAATCCCAACACTCTGGGAGGCCAAGGTGGGTGGATCAGCTGAGGTCAGGAGTTCAAGACCAGCCAGGTCAACATGGTGAAACCCCATCTCTACTAAAAAACACAAAAATTAGCCGGGCGTGGTGGCTCATGCCTGTAATCCCAGCTACTTGGGAAGCTGAGGCAGAAGAATCACTTGAACCCAGGAGGCGGAGGTTGCAGTGAGCTGAGATCATGCCACTGCACTCCAACTGGCGACAGAGCAAGACTCTGTCTCAAAAAAAAAATACATGGTGAAGGAGTGGAAAAGACATGTGTAAAGAGATCACACAGCACAAGTGAAAGCAAGAGACAGTGTAAGAATCAGAACTCACTTTTATAACAGCCCATTCTCTGGTAACTAATCCTCCTCTACAAGAGCAAGAACTCACTCACACCCAAGGGAGGGAATTAGTCTATTCATAAAGGATCAACCCAATGACCCAAACAACTCGCAGAAGGCCCCAGCTCTCAGTACTGCCACATGAGGAACCAACATTCAACATGAATTTCAGAGGGGACAAACTGAAACCATAGCAGATTCCTATACTAATATTACAAAGATTTCCTGGGGAATCTTTTTAAAATGCAGATTCAGCATTTGTAAGATGGGGCCTGACATTCTGCATTTCTAACAAGTTCCAAAATATTGATACTGCAGGCCCTAAGACATCATTTTAAGTAGCATGGTCAATATAGAAAAATACATGGCTTTTTTTTTTTTTTTGACATGGAGTTTCACTCTTCCCACCCAGGCTGGAATACAACGGGGTGATCTCAGCTCACTGCAATCTCTGCCTCCCCAGTTCAAGAGATTCTGGGATTACAGGCACGCCACTGTGCCTTGCTATTTTTTTGTATTTTCAGCGGAGAAGGAGTTTCACCATGTTGGCCAGGCTGGTCTTGAACTCCTGACCTCAGGTGATCCACCCACCTCAGCCTCTCAAAGTACTGGGATTACAGGCATAGGACACCTAGCCCGGCCAATCTTTGGCTTTAACGTAGGCCATGACACTGAAAGTCTTATTATCAGCCTCAAAATGACTTCTTGCATACCTCAATTTATCTACTCAGTGCATATTTATTGAGGACTTATCCTATGCCAGATATATGCGAGAATCTGGCGAAGACAATTATGAACCAAACAGAATCCCCCTCCTTATGGTGCTTGTAGTTAATCATTAAATAATACCAAAACACATGTGCTTAAAACATCATCTGACACACATAATTTCTTAATTTACATTTGTGTAATCTCTGAATGATTGATCTCCATGAATGCATATAATCTGGGGACCAGTGGACGTTTTTCTAATGAAGTGATATTTAAGCAGAGACCTACCTCTGGAATACAGAAAAGTTCTAAATGAATAGGAGAGAGGTTAGGCATACAGGAAGCAAGGGCGATGAGTACTCTTAGGAGAAGAAAGAGCACCGAAAAAGTTCAGAGGTGGGAAAGGACCGGATGATTCAAGGGGCATATTAGTTCTTTTTAATGTATTAAATAAAGATATATTTTGGTCAAATGAATTGTCTTAAAAGAAAGAGTGAATTTTAAATGGCACGTTCTAAATTTAAAAAAAAAGTATATATTTTTTGAGGTACATCTGATTTGATTTACTATGTTCTCTTCGGATAGGGACCACCAAATTAATGTAATAGAAATTTCCGAATCTATCAGACGTTTATCAGCTTAGTTATTTAACGTAATGATATGCTAAATTTTATATATATGTATATAAAAGTTAACACAATTTTTCTTAACTGTTTGCATACTCATAAGAGGTCCAAGCCAGCACAAGAAGATTGGAGAAAAAAGTCAAAGGATAAGAATTGGAAAGAATGAAATATGTGATCATTTACAGATGCTAGGACTGTCTACATGAAAAAATGCTATCTTCAGACTAATTCTTTGAAGTTAGTAAGGCTGGTGAATACAAAATAAATATACAATACTCTGTTGTATTTCTATAT